ATCAACCATCCACATCAAAAGCTGCAGGACTTCTTCTTTTTAGGAAACAAATCAAAGAAAAAATAAACAAATTCTACTGTTCCTAATATTCTGTATGTTGCTCAAAAACAAAATATATTGTGTTCAGCTGAAAAAAAGTTTTTTTTTTTTACCCAGTCATTTAAAAATGACACATTTTAGTGCTGTAACGACAATACCGCGATACTGTGAAACCGTGATATTTTTGCTTAAGGTTATCATACCGTCAAAATCTCATACCGGCCCATGCCTACATGACACCATGTTTAACTCCATCAAAGGTACAAGACATTAAGGAGATACGGACTATAAATGCCATTTCTGCCATGCAATTTACATTGCTAAAAATCATCCAGTATGTTTTAGAATAAATATATCAAAAAAATCCATAAAAACAAAAGTGTATAAAATACTTCTCAGAGAAACTTTTTAGAAAAGAGTTGATTCATTCTTTTACACTGGTCAAATAGTAGGTTATTTTAATTGTTTTAAAGAAATCAAATTTATGCCGTTTTGCTGATAATGTACACATATGTTTTAGGGTATTTATATAGGCTAGTTCGGCCAACTTATATTTTGCAGTAGAAAATGCAGTTGTCTGACTCGGCGCGTCACTGACCAAATTTTAAAAAAATGAAACGTGCAAATCTTACCGTTTACTTTAAATTCTATCCTTCAAATATGTGACTATCACAGAAGGAGTCTGCCTGCATACATCAACATCTCTGTGCAGCAGTAGTTGTACAGTATTGTCATTGCACCTATTCAAACCGACCGATGGACCGTTCATCCACCGATTCCAGCAGTGTCTTCCATAATATCGAAGTGTGCATCATTTCCTTGTTCTAACTAAAAATATTTTCTCATAACGTGAGTGTCACGGTCAAGGTGTGTGGAGGCAGGCAGGATGACGAGGACGACAAGGATTCAAATAAGGATGTTTAATGTAGAGACAACAAGGCAGATACGGGTAGATCTGCAGTTTAGTTTAAGGAGGAATTTTTGTGCGCCTAGCACTCCTCCCTGTCATTAAAACATAGCATGCCACAGGAAAAGTCATCAAAAATATAGCGCATCCACTACAAATATGTCTATTCATATAATCTTTAACTTCTGCATAATGACTTTATGTAGCCTAATCTCAGTGCTCATCTCCATTAATGAGTGTCATTTTTAATCTAATTGTTTATATCAAAATGAAAACAGACTTTAAAATACTTAATTGTTTTGCTCACTGTAGTAAAAGTGTGCGTACGCATGGGTCAGAGTTTGCGTGCAAGTGCGCAAATTTTCCCATCAAGTTTGTTTTTATAAATCCCATCTTTTGCGTAGGAAGTGGCGTACGCCTCTTTCAGGGCAGGTTTTGTGCGTACGCAACAGTTATAAATGAGGCCCCTGATGAGGAAAAAGTAACGCAAAAGTAACGTAACAGATTACTTTCCATAAAAAGTAACTACTGTAAGTAACGCAATTAGCACTGCTTGTAATTAGATTATATTGCATTTTAAAATACTTTTAATCAGATTACAGTTACTTTTTAATTGATTACATGATTACATATTATTCACATGGTCACATGGCATGCAGGTAAAGAGGAATAATATTTCATATTTTTATTAAATGTTTTATTTTAATTTTGTTTTATTTGTTGTAATTTACAGACTACAATGTATAAGCATTTATTATGGTTTTTCCAGTGTCAAACACCTCAGTTTCTTTAGAAAATGTACAAATCTAGTTAAGGTAATTGGTCTAATGTCTTTTTATTTTTTTATATGAGCAAATAACCTTCATTGCCTTACAATGTGAAGTGGGTCTAGAGAAGTGCATGTAGAGGTAAAGCTACTTATCGTGTCCAGTTGTAAAGTTTTTATAAGGCTCAGTGCTCAAAACAGGCTATATTGTACTGTATGAAGCATTATGTTCTCATACTTTGGATTTACAAGCAGCGGTAACATGGACTTTTACTAGGAAAACTTTTACTCTTGAGTACATTCACTGGGAAACAGGCCTTAAGTTATATAACTATAAACTTTTGTTACTTTGCACTATAACACATTTACTTCAGACTCTTCACAGGAAGATTAGGGACTGTGTTTTTCTCTCATTATTTCAAAGGCAATTTTCAATGCCACACTGAACCGATTGTCCTGTAGATAACAGGTTGTTCGGCCAGCTTATGCTCTGTCTTGAAGACTATTAGATTAGCCCGTTTCATTCGATTGACCTACACAAAATGTTTCGATTAGATCTAGATCTGGAGGCTGGTAAACAGTGGTTGGGTTGGATGATTCAAACGCATTGCTGCTCACCATTGTACATTTATACAATTACTTTTATATTTACTCGATAGTTGTAATATGATTAAAGGTTCAGATGGTAAGCCTTTGTGCTGGCCACTCAAGATAAACCAATAATTTCCTGTTTTTGCTCCAAGAACAGCAGACAAAAGACTGTTATCAATTTTGGCACACCCTTAGCTCGAAAAACAAAACAAAAAAACAAACTCATCTTTGCCCAAACTGAGGAAAAAGCTCAATCCGATAATAAAGCATAAAGAGACACTGAGCCAGCCAAAGAGGAAATGGACATTTTCACTGTCCTTCATTGATTGGCAACGATGTTTTCATTGATTCAAAATATTATGCTTTTTTTTCTTAAAATAGTAATTTTGTCATCTTTTTGTAGTTTATTTGCAGTATGAAACCCATATTTCTTCTAGGGAATACAAAAGGAGAAAAACTCTGCTGGTTGCTGTTTTCCATGCAATTACAGTGAATGGGGCTGAAGCTTTCAAGCTTTATAAAGAACAAAAAAGCACCATAAAAACGTATCACAAAAGTAGTCTGACTCATGCACTATATTCCAAGTCTTCTGAAGTCATTTGATAGCTTTGTGTAATGAAAAGACCTAGATTTACATCATTATTCACTAATTATCATCTTCTCCAGTGAGCTGTTAACCTCTACGACCGGCTCATTGAGTCAGTTAGTTGAGCTTGAGAACCAGTCCAATTTGTGAACGAATCATCTGAATCCCGAATTATTCAGATCATTCAGTTGTGAAGTGGATTAATCGATTAATCAGACTCAAAAGAATGATTCGCTCATGAAAAGGGGTGGGGGGGGGATTAGGACGATTCCAAGGGTCTGATGAGGGAGAAGGGGCCCGAATGTGATTTCTGCCAAGGGGGACCCCACCGCAAATTTTTGTACTGCACAATCAAGCACAATTAATCAGAATTTGTATTGTGTAGCAACATATATTTGATTTACTCTTTTTTGTTTAGAATCACAAGGACATCTGGGCATCACTCAATTATCTTCCTCTCTCTCTCTTCTGTATTGTTGTGATACTTGTGTCTCTGTTTTTCATCTGTAGCTTATCTTGCTTGATACTGTAGTCTTCTTTATCCAAAGAATGTCTAAGTTCTTTTTTATAGTATCTTTTGATATCATACTATGAACCATGAGCATAAAGAACCGTATTCTTTTAAGTCAACCGTCTGGTTTCTCTACCACATAGACTGTTTATTCGAGCCAGTGTGTAATTATGGTTATTAAGAAACCTTAAGGGGAATGTTTTTACTATTGAGTTATTTTGGTTGCTTCAAGGTAAAGGTGTATATTTGCTTACATTTTTAATTAAAGTACATGAACTAGGAGAATCAATTGACATCGGCATACTTTAAGAATGCCAAATACTGGTCTAGAGCAACAATTTGCATAGTAACCACATTAATGGGAAATGAAGAGAAGGTAAATAAAATTCTGACTTGAAGCAACACAAATAAGTTCTTACTTTCCTCCTACATTCAAGATTTTATTCAGTAAACATTGGCTATGTAATTTGATAACCTACTTTGTGCAAACTGTGCAGCGGGACTAATTAAGTATGTACTAATCCTTGTAAGTAAGTTATCATCAGTTTTTGATGCAAAAGAGTAGGATTCAGCATTGACCGAATCATGGCTTATCCCTTCTTTCTCTTTGTGTTTAATGCAGGATCCCTGGTGAGATCCCGTTGGCTGATGATCCCCCTGCTCGTGCAGGCCTGGCTCTTGGCTTCCCAAGGCAGAGTCCGAGAGAAACCGTGTCCCCGAAGCTGCCGCTGCGATGGCAAAATAGTGTATTGTGAGTCAAATGCCTTCCGTGATGTGCCAAAGAATGTTTCCGTGGGATGCCAGGGCCTCTCTCTGCGGTACAACAGCTTGGTGAACCTCAGGGCTGGTCAGTTTGCCAGCCTCAGCCAGTTAGTCTGGCTGTACCTGGACCACAACTACATCAATGCAGTGGACAAACAAGCCTTTCAGGGTGTTCGAAGACTAAAGGAGGTGATCCTCAGCTCCAACAAGATCACACATTTGGAAAACAGCACGTTCCATTCGATCCCCAACCTACGCAATCTGGACCTGTCCTACAACAAGCTTCAAGTCCTGCAGCCGAATCAGTTCCAGGGCTTGCGCAAACTGTTGAGTCTCCACATCAGATCGAATTCCCTCAAGACGGTTCCCATGCGAGTGTTCCAGGATTGTCGAAACCTAGAGTTCCTTGATTTGGGCTACAATCGGCTGCGAAGTCTTACCCGTAATGCATTTGCGGGTCTTCTCAAACTGACGGAGTTACACTTAGAGCACAACCAATTCTCAAAGATCAATTTTTCTCATTTCCCAAGGCTGAACAACCTCCGCGCTTTGTATCTGCAGTGGAATCGGATAAAGTCGATAACCCAGGGAATTACATGGACCTGGACCTCTTTGCAAAAGCTGGATCTTTCTGGAAATGACCTGCAGGTTTTGGATTCAAGCATCTTCCAGTGTCTCCCTAACTTGCAGACTCTTAATCTGGACTCCAATAAGCTAAGCAACGTGTCTCAAGAGGCCATATCAGCTTGGATCTCTCTTACTACCATCAGTCTTGCTGGTAACATTTGGGAATGCAGCCCCAGCTTATGCCCCCTTGTAGCTTGGCTGAGGAACTTCAAGGGGAACAAGGAGACCACCATGATTTGTGCTGGACCAAAGGAGGTTCAGGGTGAGAAAGTCATCGAGGCTGTTGACACACATGGAATCTGTAAGATGACCCCCACTCCTTACCAACCGATCTCCTCCACCGTAAGCTCCCCATCCAAACCTGGACGTTTCCCCCTGCCCACCATGTTCAGGGTGAATGAGAAAATAACACGCAACAACGCTGTTGTGCCTTCCCCGACGGATGCCTCCCCACCCGTCCCTGAGCAGGACTTCGAGCATGTTTCGTTCCACAAGATAATTGCCGGCAGCGTCGCCCTCTTCCTATCTGTGGCCATGATCTTGCTAGTGATCTACGTCTCCTGGAAGCATTATCCCAGCAGCATGAAGCAACTGCAGCAGCATTCCATGGTGAGAAAACGCCGGAAAAAGGCGCGGGAGACAGAGCGCACCCTCAGCTCCCCGCTTCAGGAATATTATGTGGACTACAAACCCACAAACTCTGAGACCATGGACGTACTGGTCAATGGGACAGGACCATGTACCTACACCATCTCCGGCTCTCGAGAATGTGAGGTATGATCCGTCGCCCTCCTAAAATCCATTACCACTGCGGGGAACAAGAGGTAAATGTCCAGTCGATGTGAGGCGAAAAAATTGTGTTGTCTCCCCCCCCTTTTCCGCTGCTAGCTGTTCCCCTCTAATGGGTAGGAAACATGGGTCAGTGCATGGCAACTTGAGTCATATGTTCTCAGGCTTGTAATCAAAGTTGTATTTCCTCCTTTTACCTCAGGTATAGTAAGATAAAACATCCTTGAGCCAAAAACACCTTGTTATATATCAAACAGCAGCACCGGTTTGGGGAATTTTTACTCTCTGCTGGCTTAAAGCAAAATATTGAGTACTGCTTTTAAAATACACCACTGATTGGCTACAAAAAATTGTTGTAGCTTCAAATACTGGGTCAAGTCTCTGTGCATTGCTCCTTTCCTATCCGTTGTGTGTTTTTGCATTGTTATCAACATGCAACACCCCAGGCAAATGGCTGTTAAATCAAATAAATTACGGTGGCCTACTGGTTTAAAGGAAAGAGACCAAAAAAAAGACATTGATTAAATGTGAGAGCTAATATATTGGTCTGGTTCCAAGATAAATATTTGCCTCATTTTGGATTCACGGTAGCAGTGACCGGATTATTGAGGGGTTGGAGAGATTTCCCTTAATCATGCACTTTGTCAGACAAATCAGCAATTCAGGACATAATTAAAGATACACATTGCTGATCCTTGTACGTAATCCCGCCACATGGCCACTCTTGGCAATTGCATCCCATAATTTATGCAGTGTCATAGGTTCTCCCCATGAAATATGACAAGGCTCAGGTCCAGACATAGAGGAGCTTGAGAAAATAAGTGTAAAGCCTTTTGCCACAAAGCAGCTACTCAGGGGAGTCAAAGTACACATACATTAGGGCTGTGCAATTAATCGCATGCGATTGCCATGCGCATCTCGTCAGTAAAGCCGGTCCCGTGATTAGTAGTAAATCGCCATCACCTGCTTTCAGATGGAGCGCATTTAATACACAGAGCCGTAGTTCACTGACAAGCTAGGCGTACATTACAAATTACTTTTCTATTCAGGCCGTAGAACAGCAAAAGCGAAGGCAATCTTCCTGGTAGAAATAAATTCAGTGTTCACGGGTCTAATTATGAATGGCTTTCAGCAAAGGTCATCTTGAGTATCGCCTCCATCACATTGCCGGAAGTGTTAGAACAAGTGTGAGATCCATAGGGAGTCTTACTTACAGGACAGCCATCATTTTGTTCTGTTTTGTTGATTCAGTGGATTGTAGGTAAATCCGCATGGCAGTTATATTCTCATTGTAAGTAATGAGCAAGCCCAAGGGATGCATTTCAACAGCTTTAAAAATGATAAAGCTGGTTTGCTTTCAGCTTTGCACAGGAAGTAATAACAGGAAGTATTTCCCATGAAACAAGGTCAGATTAAATAATTATTAAGGTGAATTAATGAAATTCACAAATGGATAGAATTTACAAGTGTTTGACTAAGAGGCTTAGGGATTTGTTTGGAAGTGCTATGGTGATTGTCTTTGCTTTCGCACCAGTAAAAGGTAATATTTCATTTTAGTGGTTTAATCTGCATTGTAAACAAGGTGCTGTGCTTTTCCGCTTGTGTATTGTTGCCGTGTTGATTCATTCGTGTTTATGGTTTTCCTGTTGTTAGCATCCATCATGTCCTTTGCCCCCTTTGTTGCTCCTGTTGTTGTGTTTTTCTGTCTTTTGACAATTACTAAGTTTTTCAGTAAATATAGAACTGAACCCTGCATTTTATCAAGTAACCCTTACTGCTAATGTGTAACACAGTGATATCGGTTAATATCTGTATGACCTTATGTGAAACCTATTATTATCAACACCATCTTTTGCAATATCGGCTTTTATGAAGCATCAAAGTGAACTTCCCACCTATAATTTAAAATAAGACCTATACACAGTGACAGACACACAAATGCTTCCTTTTTAGTAAATCTGATTGAATCCTGGTAATTTTAGCACATTATAGCTACAGTTTGAGATCCAATATAATTGGGATGTAAGTTTGTTCCCCCTCAATCTTTAATATTTGGTTGTATCCTTGTACTATGGGAATATATCTTCAACTACAAGGTTTTATAGTCTGCCTGGCTCTCCATCTCTCTCTTTAATCATACGGTTGCTCTCCTGCTTGAGTTAGATGAGTCCCTGACAGCTTTTTGTTGACAAGGCAGAACCACGGGAAGTCCAGGCAGTGGGCCATTACTGAAGCCCCTTGATGTTGTGAGCAGTCATGCTGGCCATATTTACAGCGAGAAGGACGTTGATTCTATCTCGGAAAATTGGAAGTGTCAAAGAGCGAGATCAGAGACATAAAGCTACGGCTGTCAGAAAGCAATTTTTATCGAACGGTGATAACCTGTGACCTCCTGTGACCACGGTCAGTGGCATTGCTCATACGCACAGATCTGCAGAAGAGAAGAGGTATAGAATAACGTTCGGGCTGATAATATAGTGTGATTGTGGACCGGACTGTCTCCTACACTCACAGCGATGGAGAAGAACAGATGAACACACTTGTTTCATTTTGAAACGGATGCTTGGCACAGTCAATATTTAGAAATATGAGTTTTCATGTGTTTTGTAAATTGATGGTTTATATTTCAGTTGTAGGTTAGCAGAAATGAGCAGCTTGATAGCCCGTGGTCACTATATGTTTTGCGATCTCATTTTATGTTCCACTAAAGAAAGAAAAACACTCCTACAGAATTGATATGATATCAGAGTGAGAAAATGATGACATATTTTCATTTTCGGGTTCAGTTTCTTTGCAGAAATGCTGTGAAATTCCTTTGACGCTTTTGGTAATGATGTAAGTTTCATAAGTAGCTAACTAGGAGCAGCTTCCACTCTTTGACCAGATCAAAAAATGTGAGGATGAAGAAATAGTTTGATTCTACAACTTCCTATCTGTCACTGCAGATGTATTAATGAGCGATTCGTATGTAATGCTGCTGTGAAGTCCCTGCTTAATCATTGTGACCGTGTTTTGGCGTTTCTCCAGAAGCAGAGCTACTGTAAAAAGCCAGTGGGCTTTGGCAGCATTGTTTCAGCGTATTAAAATGAACAACAGCTTCCCTGAAACTACAAATGTCCTCTTTAGCAGAACAGGGCCCTCCCAGAGCTCTCTGTTGGGTCAGCTCCTTTTGCTCCAAATGGCGAAGGCTTCGTCCTTGACTTCTGGACGGCTTCCCGGTGTTTCTGGCCCAAGCAGCGGTGCTTCACCTTTTCTACCGCAACTGTCCCAGGCAACCCAACCTTTACTCGATGGTTGTTTTATACAAACACAGAGCTGGGACTTAGAGATTAATGCGTGTGTTTGTATCGGTGTGGTTGTGCATCTCTTTTTCAAGGACTTTTGCTATGAATATTCAGTCTGAATGTGATTCTGCAGGGATTTCAGACAACAAAACAGCTCTGTTCCAAGAATTACCTAGCAAGCTTATTACCTGGACAGCATTTTCGAACTATATATATATATATATATATATATATATATCCATCCATACATGCACACTCAAACGTTTGGAATGATTATGATTTTTTTTATATATATTTTTTTTTAAAGATGTCTCTTGTGCTCACCAAGGCTGCATTTATTGCAGTAAAATCAGTAATAGTGTGAAATATTATTACGATTTAAAATAACTGTTTTCTATTTGAATATATATTAAAATTTTATTTATTCATATGACTCAAACTGAATTTTCAGCATCATTACTCTTCAGTGTGACATGATCCTTCAGAAATCATTATTATATGATGCTTTTTTAAATTATTATTTTTTCTTATTATTATCAATGTTGAAAACAGTTGTGCTGTTTCATATTTTTGTGGAAACTGTAATACTTTATTTTTTTTTTTTCAGGATTCTTTGATGAATGGAAAGTTCAAAAGAACAGTATTTATTTGGAACACAAATCTTTTGTAACATTATAAATGTCTTTACTGGCACTTTGATTCATTTTCATTGCTGAATAAAAGTATTATTATTATTATTATTATTATTATTATTATTATTCAGATTGGCTGCACAAGACATTTACACTTAAATGATATTAAACTAACTTTAAAACTGGAGTTGAATCTTGGTTTAATTAATCTGATGACTTAAAGTATCATTGTATCATACTGATAATATTGATCATATGTACACATAAAAATGTCAACTACTCTAAAAATAGACTACTAAACCATTTGTGTGTGCTATGCTTGGAGTATTGCATTAAATTAGCAATTAAATGTTAAATTAGCAACATGCTAATACCAAACTCTAGTTTAGCGTCCTGCGCACGTGTTGTGCACTACAATGTTTCAAATCATACATTTATAAGCTTACAATTGAGTTGGACATCTGCTTGAGTAGGCAGCAGACAGCAGGACAGCTCATTGTCCTGGTTTTGGAACAGAGCTGATGTGTATTTATAATAAAAGTGAAATTCTCAGGGAGGAGATGACATATGAATGCATAGAGTATGTTCACTCATTTGACATCTGGGATGCAGTGCTAAATGAACATATGTCAGCAACAAACAGTCCTTTATGGACAAGAAGTGAGAGTGATCCTGCTGCAGTGGAAAAGTTGGAAGCATCTAAACAGATGTCTTAAATTTCACAAACTAAACCAAACTAGGCCGCAAGGTAACAAAATATAACCTGGAGGCGATGCAGCTTGGGTTGTTAGTGTCTTGTTAAATGAAACATGCCAGTGAAGGATGCTGAAGGCTTTCCTGTGGATTGGAAGAACAAATTGCTAAGAAATCGAAAACAGAATCATTTAGGCCTTAGTCACTGACCTTGATTGTAAAAGCAATGCAGGGCACAAACAGTCATAATGCGTCCACAGGTTGTGTGTGTGTGTGTGTGTGTGTGGATGTTATACTGCAAGTTGGGCTAATGTACGGCAGGACCTACCAGAATAAATTTTATCTACAAGAATAGATTTTATTTGTTTTTATTTTC